AAATGCAGAAAGCCAGTTGTTGCCTTCAGGCAGTGTATTGCACCAAGATGGCAAGTGTTGTGCATCTGGGCAGTGGATGGAGGAATGTCTAATGCTTTTCTTGGACGTTCTCTGATTTCTTCTGTCACCAGCATGCTGCAGTGTCTTAGCTAATGCTGTTCGTTCCTGTCAGGATGGCAGAAGTGAAGATCGTATTAAGCAGATAGTACTGTGTTATTTTATAGGCCATGTGCTTGCTGTTTGGTAAGCTGGGGAGAGGCAGGGCTTATCTGCCCCTCTAACCTCAATGTGGTGTAACAGGATTGTTCTCTACTGTTAAAATAAAGAGCCCCGCAGTGAAAAGCACATGTGGTCTCTTAATCTGAAGTAAACTCGGGAAGATTTCAGTGAATTCAAATGATCTTAGGGGCTGGGAAGATGTGACACCTACCAGAGAACCAGCAGTCACAGTACTGCAGTTTTTAGCTGTAAGGCTTTCCCTGGGGTATCAAGATGTTAACACTTTGTGGCAGTATAAGGTTCTTGCAAGGAATATGGCAGCTAAAGCACAAAATGGTATAGAAATCAGATTTCTTGTCATGCTTTTGACATCATTTGCCGTGAGCTTTCCATTTATCTGTTTAGCCAAAGCCGTGGCTAATTCAGTTCCCAGGGGCCTCCTCAGCAGGCTGTGCTAGCACTGTGTTCTTGGGGCTGGAGAAGTGATTCAGGCTCTTTGGACTAGAACAGTCCTCACCGCTCTGAATGAGCAGGATGAACTCTACATGCCATTGTGGCTAGGTGACTGGCAAGTCTTGCTGGAGGCCCAGGCTGCAGAAGTAAACTCATTCTCGAGCCTTCCTTTGAAAATGTGCCTTATATTGTTAGTACAAGCTGAATTACAGAGTAGTTCTGTGTGCAGTTGTCTGTGTTTCTGCTCATTTGCAGTGATGTAAAGTGGCTTCTTTGACTTGTCTGTCTCTTCCTGTAGAGTGTTTGGTGCTGGATATCCCGGCCTGCCTACTATGACTGTGGATGACTGGTATGAGCAGCGCGGGAGGCAGGGAGTCGTGTCTGGTCAGAGTGCACCTCAGAGAACACCAGGTATGGGGTGGCAGAGGAAGGAGTGGAATAGAGAATCTAGGAAGTCTCTTGAGGGGGAGGGTGAACGGGGATGTGTTCAGGGTGTGAAACACCCGCTGGCTGAGGAGGAGTAAGAGCTGACTTGATCAGGCTGTGAGAATAGCTGGGTTGCTGGACTGCTCTTGGGCGGTTTCTGCTTTCTGTCTAAATCCTGGCAGGTTTGAGAACTCGGCTGGGGATCTTCCACTGTCTTACTGCCCCTCGCTCCTGTTCTTGGCCTTCAGCAGGTATAACTGATGAAGAGTTGCAGAAGCAGCAGCAGGAGAAAAAAGAGCAAGAGGATGATGAGGAAGCTCTTCAAAAAGCTCGAAACTGGGATGACTGGAGAGATACACACCCAAGAGGCTACGGCAACCGGCAGAATATGGGCTGATGCTCTTGCTGCAGAGGGAGCAGGTCCTGGAAGCCCTGTAAGAATTGCGTGTGTCCTGGAGATATGGGAGTAAATACACTGTACGTATGCAGAGGTATCCGTGGCTTCTCTGGGAGGCACCAGAGTCAGAGGAGTAAACGTGACAGTTTGCTTTGGTTTACATGACATGTCAGACTGAGTGTACAGTGACACCACAGAGCTCCTGTCAGGCGGAGCTCTGACTGAGGGCTCAGGCTGCCTCTGTTCTGCCAGGCTGTGGAAGGCCTTGAAAGAAAAGTACATGAATTTGGAAACCACTCTTTGTATTATGGGTGGATGTATTTATTTTTTTTCCTCTGTATTTTAAGCAAAATAAAATCTCTTGTGCTGGCTAGTTCTTGCTGTGAAAATCCCTTGCTTTTTGTCCTGGACTCTTCCAGAGCAAGTCTGTCAGGCTGGTGTCCAGCAGCCAAGGGAGTTAGGGTGGGAAATTGACCATGTCAGGTGGCCAGGCTTTTTCGGCCAGGCAGACTGGAGTGTTTGGCACTTTTTCCGTTGAGTAGATCGGGCATTTTGAGGGCAATGTCTTGAAGTGCTGATACTACACATAGTACAAACACTTTAATAGAAATAGTTTTGCTTTTGTTTAGTGTGATGTGGGGTCTGCGTGGCTATAGCAGACGTACAACACAATGCACAATGTGTGGGTGCTCTGGACCCTCTCGTGGAGCCCTACGGGAGCCAACGCTGGGACGAACGGTGCCATATTCAAAAGCAAGGTAGTGCACTGATTCTCAATGTACTTTGAAATCTACTTAGAGAATAACCCTGAAGGGGTGAAAACCTTGTCTGCTTTCTTCTGAAGGTAGTTTCAGTAGCTGTTGGCACTAGTCCTGAGCTGAGTGATGAGAAGGGGCACGACTGCTCTGCCCTACCTGGCGCTGACCTGGGGCGCGGCAGGCATGTTACTGGGCAAGAAAGTGAGGAGCTGTGACGGAAGCTCTGGAGTTGCCCGGCATGGGCTGGCAGCTGTGGCTGGGGTGGTTCTAAACCTGTTTCAAACATCAGCATAAAAAAAACAAATGAGGCATTGCTGCTGCTTGCACACGTGGCAGTGGATTACCTGGAGCAGTCCATGAGGCAGTTACTGTCTTTGATGTGGCGCGGTTGGATTCAGCAGCAGAGTGTTCCCTTACCTGTGGGACAGTGGGACTCTGAAAGAATTTGGGGTTTTTCCTTCCTGTTGGCAGGATTCAGGCACACCTGAGGGGTGAACTAGGCTGCAGGAGAGCTTAGATATTTTACACAGAGCAATCTCAGCTTCTCTTAGCTAATCTTACACCTGTGAAGCTGTAGCCTGCCATGAGTGCTGTGGCGCTGAGTCTCTTTACAACAGCAGCTTAGGAGTTTTTGTGGGTTCCAAACATCTCCAGTGAACCGTTTTTTCCTTTAACACCACGTGCAATCCTATAGGTGTATTTATCTCTTTCTTACGTTTGATGTTAGCAGGTACTTCTGGAGAGGCAGATTCTGAGAAGTAGCTCCAGTGAACTGGTTCCTGTGGATTTTCTCCTTTGGCTGCTGGCCTGATGCCCCGTCTCGGTGCTGCCCTTGTTTCCTTTTTTCTCATTTTTTTTCCCCCAATCCTCTCCAGGCATTATTCCAGGCTTCATGGTCTAGCAGGCAGGGCTAGCTGACCCCAGTGCCGCTCTTAGGGGTGGAAGAGGAGGGGATGGTGCTGGACGCTGGGGCTGAGGGTCAGGGCCCATCTGGTGGGCTGCACGCCTGTACGGCGGAGCGGGAGCTTTGCAATGACGTTTTTGGGCGGCTCTAGAGGAGAGTCACACTGGTAGAGCATGACGGCGGTTTGTGAAATACCCAAAGTGTGGACGGTACCATTCCGGGGGGGAAGGCGGCTTCCACCAAGCCACCACTGGGTGCCATCAGCAGTGCCTTTCCAAGGAGCAGCAGCTGCCCTTTGCAACGGCAGCTCCTCACCGCTCGGCGCGACTCCTTGTCCTCCCAAGGACCATCAGTTCTTCTCCTTCATCAGCAAGCCAGGGCTGGAGCAGATCCACTCCCCTCCATGGTGGACAGTTTACCTTGGATCAGCTGGTTAAAGCAGCTGGATACACAATCAATTGCCCTCCAGTATTTCCAAACTTGC